GAGCCACCCGCCCGGGTCACGGGTCGGGCCACCCGCCGGGCCGGGCCAGTACATTTTTTTTATTAATTATATATTATACAAATTGCTATTAAAAACAAAGTTCAAGTGCATTTATTTGAAATAAGAACTACATTTGAGAATTGAGAAAAAAATAACAATACGAAATACATTTTGTAATGAATATCAATTGGGATTTCCGCCACCGTTGGTTGTTGTTTTCCCTTTGTCACAGGACTTCATATGTTTTATTGGCATCCCGTATCCGTATGAACGCCCCAAGCAACAGTCTTTCTTGCACCACCTGCAAGTTGCCCACCACAGTCCGGTCTTCGGGTCCTTCCACTTGTCAAAATTGTTTTGCATAAGGGAAGATGTACTTTCCATATTTAAAATGGTATATGTATAAGTAGGAATGTAGGATAATAAGAGAAGATGAAGATGGAAAAGAGTTTGAGAAGAATTGGAGAAGAGGTGTAGAAAAATGTTAGAAAATAGATGTATTTATAGATGTTTTTGAACCTCACTCCCCACACCACCACCCCCGGGACCCCCCCTGCCCCCCACCCATAGCCCCAACGGCTATATAGCCGTTTGGGAGGTTTTAATTAATTTGTTTTTTTTTAAGTTATACACATATTGTAAAATAAATTAATTAATTTAATGAATTAAGTAAAGCTAAAACTATTTGTACTTAGAAAAGTGGTTTGATTTATAATTTACAAATGTTACAAAATAGGTGTATAAGTATTTAAACAAATTACATATTGTAAATGTATTTTTAATTTAAAAATCGGCTTTATATTTTAGAAAAATAATTTTAAGTCGTTAGATTGTAACCAATTAATTAATTTGAGAAGTGCTACATATGAAAAAGTGAACACATATTTATTTGAAATATGAAGTACAAGTTTACAAATTAATTTGAAGTACAACTACAAATTTACAATTTTGAAATATGAAGTACAAGTTTACAATTTTGAAATATGAAGTACAAGTATAAATAAATTTTACAAGTGCTATAAAATACATTTTGTAATAAATTCTAAAATACTAATCAATCGGAATCTCCGGCATAGGTAGAGCCACCATCGGTTGTTGAGTCATCCATAAAATCTTGGGAGGGGGTGATGCTCAATTCTTGAGTTCTACGTGCGGCCTTCAACCAATCGTGGTAGCATATAAGCGTCTCAAGAGACTCCGCGCTCAATCTCGATCTAGATGCCGTTAGGACGTTGCCGGCCGAACTAAATTCTTATTCCACAGCAACTGTTGAAACCGGCATTGATAGTACTTGCTTAGCCATCCGTGCTAAAATCGGGAACGTTCTTTCTTTTGACTTCCACCAGTCTAGAACGTCAAAGTCATCATTTTCTTCAAAATCAACTTCATATGTTAAATACAAAGTAATCTCATTCAATGCGCTTTGTTCAGTGACGTGAGTTGTTTTAGTTTTTTTCATAAGATTGCCAAATGCAGATTTAAAAATCGATTTTCCTTTAGATGAAGATGTTCGTGACGGGGGAGGGGGAGCGTTGCTATATTGTGCACGAAACTCATTAAATAAGGCATAAAATAAAGTACTAACCTCGTTGTATTCCGTTTTCGGATCTATGGGGTTATCGTCATACATTGGAAATTCACCGAAAAACGCAAGATAATAGAAGTTGAAACAATCTTCCAAATTAGCAAGTCTATAACGAGGATCGAGAATAAATGCAATACCATAAATATGGGGAATATGCGCATAATATTTTAAAAACTTTTCCTTCATATGATCACAAAAATAATGAACGAAAACGGCATTTTGAAATTCTTTAAAAGCATCGGCGAGATTAACAACTTGTGGAATAAATTGGTTTGCGGTAGGTTTATAAACATGACTAAAAGTTTCACTAGCATTAAAAAAAATATATCAAAACATTACAAATTTTTTCGCAAGTGTCGATCTCAGCCGCGTTTATAATATAGTTATCATGTTCTTTTAAAAAAGCAGGAAAATGTTCTTTATATCTAAGAACAACTTTAAGTAATTTATAAGTACTATTCCAACGAATACTCAAATCTTTAGGAAAAGCAACATATCTCACACCTCTTTCAGTCAAATAACTTTGCCATTTTAATCTAAGTTGACCATTACCCCAAATACTAGTACGTCTAACCCCCCCCCCCCCCCTTTATTACCTCCATGGAATCTCCTAACGCTTTTAAACCGTCTTGCACACATAAATTTATAACATGACATGCACAGCGTTGATGAAAAAATCTACCCATCAAAGAATTGGCACCACACAACTCACGCAATCTAGGTATAGCAGCAGTATTATTAGTAGCATTATCGAAACCAATAGCAAACACCTTATCAATCAAATTATACTCAATTAAAATACGCTCAATCAAAATATAAATATGTTCAGCGGTGTGACGATCATTAAATTCACGAAAAGCAAGAACACGTTTATGCATATTCCAATCCTCATCAATATAATGTGCAGTCAGACCCAAATAATATAAATGATGAAAATCATCCTCCCATATGTCAGAACAAATAGTAACACGCCCATCAAAGTTTGCAAAAAAAAATTGTAACCTTTCCTTTTCCGCATTATAAAGCCTTATTATTTCTTTCTTAACAGTTTTGCGACTATAATTTCTAAATTGAGGATTTAAACTACCTTGTGCATAATCTCTTAAAGCAAGACTTTCAGAAAACAAATAAGGCAAATTTTCTTCACAAATTAAGTTAGCCATACCAGTCAAATTTTGTGCATCATTGTAGGAGAAATCACCAAAAGGTTGAGAATTCGCAAACCTCGATATTTGAGTTTGCTTCCCCGTTCCGCCGCCTAATTTTGCATACTCCACGGGGTGCTTTGCCTTAAGATGCCTTGCGGCGGATCCGTATCCGCCGGAGGTTCCCAAACTATAATTGTTGTTGCACCACTTGCAAGTTGCGTGCCAATAGCCGGTTTGTGGGTCCTTCCATTTATCAAAATTATTTTTCATTAGTTCAGACTTACTTTTTTTATTACCGGTGGCGGTTTGGGATGAGGCAGGCGCGTCGGCGTCGTGGCTGCCGGCACCCTCCTCCTCGGCCGTCTCCGGTTCCAATTCCTCCGCATCTTCATCCTCAAGCTCCTCTTCGTCAATGGTCGTCGGCATTTGTTGTTGTTGTATAAAGCGGTTATTATGTCGGGCCAATTCTTGTTGGAGTTGTTCTTCGGACATCGCATCTCCATCTCGCCTTTGGTAACCCGTTTCAAAATCATCTCGGCTTTGAGATGAAGAACCGGCAAGTTCTTTACCTTTGCGGGATTTCTTCCTCCCAATCTCGTTCCTCCGATTGCGTTGGAGGTTACCCAAATCAACCGAATATCTACCCCCTTCCATGTTAAAAATGTAACAAATATTAATTGACAACCAATATAATAATGGATACAAAACTAATGCAACTAATTAAAACTATTTTAATTAATACTTCAAACTAATTTAGTGCAAAGTAGAATTAATGTGTGACTTTAAAATTAAAATTATACCAACTTTTAAAGTACTTTAATTTAGTAAAAACTACTTAAATAAAATGTGAAGTACTTTAATTAAATGATTGAACTACTATTTCTTCCTACAAATATAAATTGAAAATAAGAAAATGTGACTTTAACTATTATGAATTAATGACAATTAACTAGTTTATTGAAGTAGAGTTGTTTTAACAATTAATGAGAATACTAATGAAGTAAATAACTAGTATAATGAAAAATGTAACAACAATGCTAATTAACTAATTAATTAGTATAATGACAAATGTAACAACAATGCTAATAAACTAATTAACTAGTATAATGAAAAATGTAACAATAATGGTAATGAACTAATTAACTATTATAATGATAAATGTAACAAGAATGCTAATTAACTAATTAACTAGTACAATACTAGTTATATTAAGTAATATAATATTTATAGTATATAATATATAAGTATACTACTATAAGATGAGTAATACACTTATATTTTATACTTTAATATATAAAGTATATATTAAGTAGATGTAGAATGTATGTATTAAGTGGATATAATAATTGTATAAGAATTAAATATTAGAGTATAATGGAGAATTGGAGATTGGAAAATAAGAAAATAAGTATATATAAAATAGATATTATAAAGTATATATAAAAGTAGATATTATAAAATAAGTATATATAAAATAGAAATTATTAAGTAGAGAAGTAGATATTATTATGTATTAAGTATATAGTAATAGTTTATAAAGTATATTTAATACTTTATTATATAAAGTATATATTAAGTAGATGTAGTATGTATGTATGTATTAAGAAATATAAGTAGAGATTAAGTAGATAAGAAATATATGTAATATAGTATATGTATTTATAAGTAGATAATTAATATATAAATAGATATAATAATTGTATAAATATTAAATAGTAAAATAAAATATAAAGGAGAATAAGAGAATTTGAGAAGATGAATATGGAGAATTGGAGATGAGTAGAGAGTAGGATTTAGGGGGAGTTGGAGAAGAGGTGTGAAAAAATGTTTAAAATTAGGAGTATTTATAGGTTTTTTTAACCCCCACCCCCCCCCCCCCACCCCCCACCCCCCACCCCACCCCACCCCCAAACACCCCGGACCCCCCCTGGTACCCCCCCCCCCCCCAACGGCTATATAGCCGTTTGGGAAGTGGGGGTTGAGCCAAAAGGGTTTTTTCAAATTAAAAAGAATTTTTTTTTTTTTTAAATCTGACCGTTAGGCCCGGGCCTCCAAAAACATGACCCGAGCCCGGACCCGCTAACCCAACCGGTTCGGTGCCCGAACCGGACCCGGACCCGAGAACCGGGCCGGTTCCGGGCCCGCACAGTGACGGGCCGGGCCGGTCCCGGGCCGGGCGGCCCGAACCGGGTCCACCCCTGGAAGGGACTTTCAACTTTTTCATGTAGCCACCCTAATGGAAGGGGTAATACTGTATACCGCAATGGTTATGAGAACACATAAATAATGGATTTACGCGAAAGAAAACAAATAAGGTATGATAAATATTGAAAACATTATTGTACCTCAATAAAAGGACTACTAATATGTGAAATACTTAACAATTATATTTAGATGTTCTGATTTTACAACAAAAATATGTTTTGCACTATTACAAGTGTGCCTGGATTAGTGGAGATGATAGTTATCTTCTGCTCAATCTCCTCAAAACTTTTCTAACTGCTGAAATCTTCAAAAATGACAGTCTTCCTGTGTCAGATTCCTTTATTTCGGGTGTTAGGGTGTGGATAATGTATCACAATACAGAAAAGAAAATGTCATCCCTCCTCTTTATGGTCAATTCTATTTTATAACAGAGATGACAGAGCTTGTGACACATTTCTGGAAATCCGATCATGGATAGGCTCCTGCATAGAGCATGATGACTTCATTAAAGACTTCAAGAAAACAACAAATAGATTCATACCTGTAAGGTTTTAATACCTTTGTGGAAGGAAGCTCAAATTTTGCTCTTGTTATCGTCTCAAACAAGAAAATGTAACTGTCATTTTGAGCAAAAAACAATCCAAAAGAAAAAAGTTAAGCAGAGCAAACTAAGTGAAATACAGTGGATTGCCAAAGTTCAGAATATTTTGTAAAAACGCAGACATTTCATTTCCTGAATTTGGTCATCCCATAAAGTGTCAATTTCTCTTTGGTAAGCAAATTTGAGGTTTCTATTTATCCATCTTCTCCATACAATCATCAGTCATCCAATTTTTACTTTCTTATTTCTTGTGCACGTCATCAATGGCAACATCTATCGGGACAGTGGAAGTGCTTTATAAGCATATGAATACCAAATTATTCAGTCTAGCTTAAAAATAAAGACTATATTTATATCTAAAATGTCAATATATTAGAAGGAAAAACCAAAACCATAGATTAGTGTTTTTATAATTGTTTGTTGTGAGGCTTGAAAAGAAACATGACATTAAATAGACTTATACACTTTAACAGCAATAGAAACAACGGAATTGGAATGATTGAGTGTGTGATGTGGATCGCTTACCGCCAAGACAGTTCAGTCACAAGTTCTTCCGGAGCCTCAGGCAAAACCTAATATTGGAGCATCATTACAACATTAACCATATATGCGAGAAATAAAAAAACATCAAGAACACGTGTAGGCCTAATATCACTTGCCTCGTCTTCATATGGATTGCAATGATTTTTAAACCACAACCTCAAAAACTCCTATAAATATGAGTTACCATATAAGTACATATATTGATATATTTAAAATGAAAATACTTTAATAATACTTGAATTAAGAAGAGTGACAAACCTTGTCAACATTTTCAGGCTCGAGACCATCCCGAAAGCGGTCAAGGTATGATGGAGCAATCCAGTATCTGCTTGAGTCAGGTGTATGCACCTGAAAGTTGTTATTATAGTTTATTAATATTGTTTTTAAACATGACAACAAGAAATTTTTATATTTTATTTATGTTAGAGTATATTCAAGTCATTTGCCTCATCAATCAAAAGAACAGTTCCATCTGCCCCCTTCCCGAATTCATACTTTGTGTCCACAAGTATTAGGCCGTGTTCGGATGCAACACGCTACAATGAAAAATAAATTAAAGGGGTCAGAAATCAGAATGTGGTCTTAGAACTTTTTTTAAGGATTACGTTTGCAGAAGGGTAACGAAGAAACAAAAAAATCACAAAATCAGAAGAAAAGACTACTCACCTGCCCAAACTCAAATAACCTCAAAGCTTTCCTACTTGCTTCATCATAATCAGTTTTTGTCATTAGCCCCTGTTGAACTATCTGCAATACACAGTAAAAAATGGAGGAAGTGTGTGGGTTTATTACTTCTTTTGCTTCATTTGTTACTAAGTAGCCTGAGAAGTAGGAAAACAAGAAAAAAATGACACTTAAACCTAATTAACTGCCAAAGAGGTACTTTAGCAATAAAGAAAATATTTTAAGATACAGTATAAACCTCATCAGGGGTTACAGGGACATCATGATCTGCAGCTTTAGTAGTTGGAGTAAGTATGTTTTCTGACAATTTTTGGTTTTTCACTAGGCCTGTAAATTGAAGTGGAAAAGTTGTATAATGAACAATTTGGACATTAACAGAATTATTTATCGGTTCTAAATAATACTACGTATATATTAACATTCACCATCTGGGAGGACATTGCCACAATAGTTTCGAACCCCATTCTTGTAAACTGTCCACAGTGATGTATCAGTGCTTCCGGTCACATACCCTCTAACTACAATGGCCAAAAGTTTCATTGTCACTATACTTTTGCAGTCAGTATTAAGGTCATAGTTAACACAACCATCAAATTCTGGATAGGAATGTTACCAACAAATTCAACAGGGAAAACTGAACACTTCTTTGCAATGGTGACATTCTTATCGGGTGATGCTACCACTGCATTGGGAATAATGTGTTGAGTTCTGTTGAACCACCATAAACTAGTCTCATTCAGAACCTACATGATTGAATAGGCTTTATTGAATAGTAAAAGAAAAATACAAACTTTATTACATAGCCCAAAAAAGTAAAGAAATAAAATGACTGAATCTTACCTGGCCCTTGAAGGGAATTGAAGCAAGAATCCTATCAAATGCACTTTGACGGTCAGTGGTCACCAGTACGAGATAATCCCCTCCATCGTATATATCCCTAACCTTCATACAGAGATTGGTCACTATTGAACCTCAAATTTCATCTTCTAAGTTCTAACAAGTGAAAAAGCATTCCGTAAAAAAAAAAGATTCAAACTTTATCATAACTATAATATGCTATAAGGTTTTATTGGCTATTTAGCAATAAAAACACAACCTTTAACTGGTTTGTTAACCTGACGCATGAAACATTCAAAACCTGTTCTCAAGCTTATTTACCTTGCCGCGGGTCTTGGATTTGAGACCGGGGACAGTTAAATCGAGATGGGTCTCTGATAGACAATTGGAAAGCGAGTTACTTATGGAAAGCATGATCTCCTCCTTACTCTTTCTGTCGATTAAGGCATCCAGGGTCGGAATGTTTTGCTTTTCGTGATGGTTTGATGGCAGCACTGGTGATGCTGCACGTATTAATGGGTATTTGTTCTTCATTGTTGGAAACACTTTGCAAGATGATGATGATGGTGATGAAAAGAAGGGAATCCTCGGATGACTCTTTGCCAGAGTGAGGTTTTTGTGATGGGTATTCATAGGATTTAGGGCTTGGAGGGATTGAGGCATACCCAGGATCGGTTTGAGAATATGGGGACCCTGTGTAACAAAAAAGGTTGAGTCTTCCTTTCAAGGAAAAGTAGAAATAAAACATAAAAACAGAAATAATAGCAATAAATTACTGATAATTTATGTTAAAATACAAGTTACGAATGAACATAATATTAAAAATAAAAGTATTCAATAATAAAATACATTTCATTTAAAAAGAGACATTCTTTGAGCTTATATAAATGCAAAGTCATCTACATTTCAATGTCAAGTCATCTTCTCTCTATAAGCTTCTCATATCCGGATGAATGTTTCTTTAGAAACATAGTTACTACCAATTATTGAAATCCTTAACTAAACTTGTACACATTTACGAATTTTAAATTAAAAGTTAATTTAAATTCTGAATTAATGACTAAATTATAAACCCAAAAAGGAACCTAAAAAAATACTTATAAACTATTAATGTATTAGTGTAAACAATTTCAATATTAACAACCCAACATAGTTATACAATTTTTCAAATATAATTAGTTTAATTACTTAATTAAATTAGTATCATCCTAACTTGTGCAATTCAATAAAAAATTACTCAGGCCTAATAAATAAAATAAAATAAGCAAATCGTTCACATAATAATCAAGATGATTAACAATACATAAGAAATTCAGAAAATTCAGAATACCTTAAGAATTAGGAAAGTAATACTTCTCCTCCCCACTTTGTAAGACACGTTTTCTTTTTTGATTGTCCAAAAAAATAGGAACACGTTGGGAGTTAGAATTATAAAGCAATCACTTTATCTTTTTGATTGTCCAAAACTAACATGTATGTTAGTTTATGGGAAGGAGGTAGTAATTCATAGTTTAAAAGAGAAAGGTGAAGAAACCTTACCTGGTCAGCACTTCGGCAAGCGTTGCGAGGAGTACGAGCTCCGAGCGATTCAGCGGAGTGCAGACTGGAGGCGTGGCGGCGTGCAGGCTTGGCGCGGTGGCCGGCCGGCAGGTTTAGAAATCGTCTTTTTGCGGCTTTGTTCCGGGTGGAAATTTGTCTTCTATTCTTATTTATTTTTTTCTTGCATCTGGGCTATTGGGCTGCCTAATACCACTGCTACTTTTTGGGCCTAAGCACCTAGCTGTTGAATGAAGTGTTTCAAACTAGGGCAGGACTCTGTTAAAAAGCAAATATTCCTCTCACAAAGAAAAAGTTTTGGACTTTGTTAAGAATAAGTAGAAAAATAATCATTAGGTGATTCAAACTCAAGTAAGTCAACAAGATGCAAAAGAGGTTGAAATCCATAAATTGATTGAGTTAAATGGAGTTATGCAATTAAGTATCATTTAATTTTGTTTTTAAGCTGGGACATAAATGCATCTTCAACTAATATCTTTTCTAATATTTTTCTTAGAAAGTTCCCGAAATAGGAATGTACTAGTTTTGGAATTTCAAAATGTGATTGCTATATTTCTTTTTAGGAATGCACTAGTTATGGAATTTCAAAATGTGATTGCTATGTTTCTTTTTCAGAAACAGAAACAAAAGTAATATGGCAAATTTTATTGTCATATTGAAGTCATCACTTCCAAATGGTTGGAAGTAAGATTGCTCACATGGACAAATGATGTTATGGCACATGGAAATTCTATGGTACCTTTATAAATTGGAAGGTACGGAACAATTGCTCACATGGACAAATGATGTTATGACACATGGAAATTCATTAAACTTATTTCATTTATTTTTAATATGACATGGAATAAAATTTTAGTGAATTGCACTGGCGGTCCTTCCGTTAGCCGTTCTACTTGACGGCATAGAAGTTACATTCATTTTTTTCGTCGCAGGCTCTGAACATAACATCGGAGGGACGGGATGGGTCGCCGTTGATAGATTAAAAAAATTGTGGAGAGCGCCGCAACAGTCTGCGGCGGAGAAGAGCTACTGGTGACGGTGAGGTTTGTCACAGTGCCGCTCACTTCCGGTCTTGGTGAAGGTATTTTCTGGATTCCTCTGTTAATTGAGTTAATTAAAAAATGCACATATCACCAAGATATTATTTCAGTTCCTCAAATATGTTATATATATATAAAGTCGTACTGTCTAAGTGTACAATGTGTGAGACTGGGTTAAATTAATCCTATTTTGAGTCGGCTTATCTAGAGTTTATACGTGGTGATAGGCTCAAACTACTCACTTTCATATATGAAATGCCTTTATATAAAACACTAGATTTTCACCCGTGCTTCGCACGGGATGCAATTAGTGAGGAATAAATTATTTGTAAATAAATTATATTGTAAATATATAATAACACATATATTGTTTTTAACAAATCTAAATGAAGATAGAAAATTAAAAATTATTACATACTTTCTTATAAATACATCTAAAGTCTTCTTTAATTGACCGAACAATTATCTGGGATGGTGTAAATTAAACTTTGATCACACTATGATGGAAAGAGAGTGAAGTTTTATTCCAAATCATTAAACCTTGGTTTATCATCATCTCTAAAGTTCATTATGTGGAAAATAAGGTATTACTTTCCATATAAATATATAATGATAAAGAATTATAAAATGTTAGTGTGTAAAAATACCAACCGTACATACATTTTAAAATATATTGATTTTGTGTTTCCAAATTCTCAGACAACAAAATGGAACTCATACAATGTTTCTCTATCGCATAACTGTACAAATATAGAGGCACACATTTGAGAAACTAAAATACTCCGAATGTGATCATAAGAGAATACAATTTTAATAAGATACTCTATTATTCTCTTTAAGATAATTGTCCCTTTAAAAGAAAATTTGACTATATTATGCAAGTTGGAGATTTATTAAGTTGAGCAATTATTGATCTCTACTTGACTACACATCATACCATTCTCACAATCAAAATTGGTGAACTAAAAAAATCACAAACAAATTTGATAAATTCTTATCACAAACAAATGTTATATAATGTAGTGTTGAGGAAATATGAGTTACAAAACATATTTCACATAGCATGTAGATTAAGCAGAGTTCCAGCAAGACTGAGAGGTCTGCTGTTCAAAGTGGGAGGTCTGCAATCACATTTGAGCATGGCAGGCTTATTTTTCTTATACCTTCAATCTTCCTTGAAATATATATCACATTAATTGATTAAAGATATCATTTTAAGATGCTAAAATGCATGACTTTAAAAACACTTTCTCAATGCCTGCCCCTTAACATTCCAGATTTCCAACATATAGAACTCCAACTTGCTAACGCTACCGGACATTTGACAAATAAATGCAGCAAAGACTCACTCCTCTTCTCCTCTGCAAAACCAGAACCTCACTGAACAGTTCACCCTCCTCTGACTCAGCTCTTTAGCAGGTGGCAAACAACCTGAACAAACCTGCTACAAAAAGGGTTTCACCTTGGGAGGAAGACAAAAAACCCACCTCTTCATCCAACCAACCCACCTGGTACCTGCAAACTCCCCTACAAACCTTCGGTAAAACTCTTGACCGAGCACTCCCCATGCTCCCCCATCTCCAAATGATGCATTCTAGAACTGCCCGCCAACTAAAAGGGATACCCCTCACTAAATCCTTATCTCTTTGATTCAGAATGTCTAGAATAACACCCTCGCATTAAAAAGTCATCATATTTAACCACTGTGTAGTGATCACTATAAAGATGCAGAAGGTGACCATTTAGATGCTTTTTATCCTCGAGTAACATACTTATGTATTATGTATTATGTAGTATACTTTAATATAAAAAAATCCCCTCATTTTATTAGGTAATTTTTATCGATCAGTTTTCATAAATCTAGTAATTATACTTGATGTTTATTTCTCATACAATTATAATATATAATCAGAATTCATATTTGACACTTAAAGTAATAAAGATGATTATTCTCATACAATAATAAATAGGAAGACATATAGTACTTTTGCATATGGTTCGTAAGGTTTGTTCTAATTTTCTTTGAGGGTTTAATACTATCTATAAGAATACTGAGCCGTCAAGCAATTGAGGAATCTAAATGAGCATTTCCTATCTACTCTTACACTTTTGCATAAGGAGAAGAAGTAAACATGCAGTGGTGATGGAGCCGCTGAGCAAACGTGAGCCGTAGGTATGGATTAGGGGACTGTTAGCTGAAAGATGGAGTGGAAAATTAAACCTCCACAAAATAGTCAGGAGTACAAAAGTGTGTTCAATGAAGAGGGTATGAAATTAGCATGTGCACTGCGATGAAGAAGGTGGATGAAATTACCTCCATCTCTGGCCTGAGAGTAAAATATTCATGGTGACACATTTCACATCCATGACATTTCTAGGCATTCTTCTCCACAGCACTTCTTTATCCTTGGTTTTAGGTATACTCTTCTGTCATTGAAGCCACAACCATTTAGACGGAAAACATAAACAGATAGAAGCCACAACCAATGCAGAAGATAGGAGGTACCAACTAAAAGTAAGAAATGATATTTTGATAAGAAAAGAGATAAAATGAAATACTAAACCTATATAAACTACAGCAACACCAAATTCAACATGAGCAATGTCCTCCGTCTCTGCTTTCTAGTGTCCCGAAGACCTGATCGAACAATGCATATAAAGGAACCAACAAATATTTTTTGAACTCTAGAGTCTAAGCTCTAGTATGCTTCTCATTTAGCTCTTAAGCATAATATCATACGGAGTACTACTTTGGTAAATAGAGAAGCTTGCAAGCTGTTAAACAGAGAAGCAAATTTTTAACGGAAAAATAAATAAAATACCTCAAATTTTGAAGGGGTGTGAGATAAACACCCCAAACTTGCATATGTAATTTAAATACCCCAAACTTTATGTATAAAGTTATTTTAGCATCATGGTCATGTATTATTTCTTTCAAAAAAGTAAATTTATTGTGTTAATTGCATAATTTAAAATAGCAAATTAAAAGTGTTGCAATTACATAGATTAGGAGTAATATTATTTATTTCACAGTGAAAGTTTAGAATGTTAATTGTGTGTTCATGAATGCTAAAATATTTTTAATTGCGCAATTAACACCACAAATTTACATTTTTGAAAGAAATAATACTTGACTATGGTGCTAAAATAACTTTATAAATAAAGTTTGGGGTATTTAAATTACATATGCAAGTTTGGAGTGTTTATCTCACACCCCTTCAAAGTTTGGGGTATTTTAATTATTTTTCCCAATTTTTAATTACATTGTATATTTGTTGAAGAACTAATAGCGATATAGTTCACTATGATATGTTAGTATCCTTGAACTTTTACGTTCTTTCTTTTTAATTGTCTAAGTTGTGCATGTGTTCTTTAAAAGTATCTGCAAAAACATGAGACAAAAAATATAAAATCTTATTTATAGCCACTCAAACCCCACTCATTATGGATAAACCTGAAAAGAATTAGAATAAGATGTTATGTACTAACTTTTTTCTACAAAAGGGTGTTTTAACTTAAACAGCTCTTATCAAATACTCTATACATCTTTATGCTTTTGTTCCTTGTATTCTTTGGACTCATATAGTATTTATGTTTGACAAAATTACCAAAACGATTAATGTATTCGATAAAAAAAACTTTAAAAATGTAACAACTTAAAAACTTGAAATTACATTCTTCAGAAAATTAAGAAGATAAAACAAAAAGAATAGTGACGGTAGTTCAGTTTTAACAAAAAAAAGTACTAAAAGTGCATTCCCGGATTTAAGTAAATAAAAAACAACTTTAAAATGAAACTACAAAAACTCCATAAAAAAAGTCCAAGAATTCAAGCAAACTTAAAAGAAGAAAATGCAGAATTAATATAACCAAACTCTCATCATAAAAACATTACCATGATAAATTTACCTGCAAAATCTCTCATCATAAGAAAAGATTATTTTACCTTGTTAAAATATTTTAAGCCAGAAAAGAAGATGGCGATGACCATCCATATGAAGAAAGAAGAGCATCAGATATCTTTTTGTTTATAAACTGAAAATTTCGGTAAACATAATTTAAACTAAAGTTAGTAAATTAATTAATTAAGATCTGGAGTTTTAGTGATGTGAAACTAAATTAGGAAGTAAGAATTTACCTTATATTCAAAATATATGAGAAAAGAAATTCGATGGTGGTGATCGTCG